CTGGGTCCATCCCTGCTCCCAGGGGTGCTCAGCATACCTCTTTTCAAAGCCAGGAGTTTTCCTGCTTAAGAAAATGGCCACCGGAGCACCCCTGGGAGTGGGGATGGGCCCAGCCAGCAGATTCAGCAGCAAAATTGCTGTGATAATATCAGGATGCTGCCCAAATTAAATTTTAAGCCGGGAGAGGTAAACCAATTTAAAAAAATGAGCGATAAGCTCCATAGTCTCAAATGTATTGCAAGATCCCTTTGCATACTGATACCCAGGCTAACACAGCTGCGTCTCTGAATTCCTCTGCCTTTAACAGTGGTACAAAAGCTCGGAGGTGTTGTTTTCCAACAACAAAGACACAGACCACTGCTTCCACCTGCCAGCCTCCTTGGCTTGTGGTTACCCACACTGCGGCTAGCTAGAGAGATCAATGGGCCTTTGCATGTGTTTATAGGCACAGAAGTGAGGCATTTGAAGAGTGATTGTATAAAGCCCATTTTACACAATTGTTATTGTTATTGTGCTAATGGTTGTGCTGGTGTGTTTTGATGATATATGTTTTAACCTGGTTTTACTTTTTTCTGTTTGGTAGTTGTGTTCTAACTTTTGTATCTTGTGGATCTTTAACCTTTTTTAAATCCTGGTAAAATGCTTTGGGGCTTGGGAGGTTTGTGAATCCCGCAGATCCAATTACTGGCTAAATTCTCAGCATGTCTAAGGGATTTCTACACCTTCCTATGGTTCCTGGAAATTTTTATGTCGGGACCTTTGAGTCCTCTCTAAAATGCTTTGGGATTTGGATTACCAGATTAAAACATTGAGTGGGCTCCTGTACCTTTAATGATTTGTGTGGGAAAGGATTGTGTGATAAGCAAAAGCTGCTGAAATTTCCTCTCCAACACAACTATTAAAAGCACAACATCTCTTAAAGAGGTGGCAGGATATTCATGAGCCATCATGGTGTGGTGGATTCAGTGTTGGACAAAGAACCCAGAAGACCAGGGTTCGAATCCCCATTCAGCCATTGAAACCCACTGGGTGGCTTTCAGGAAGTTACATTCTCTCAGCCTAAAAGGAAGGCAAACCCCCTCTGAATAGTAAATCTTGCCAAGAAAACCATAGGATAGGGTCACCATAAGCTGGAGTTCAGTTGAAGGTCCATAACTATTAACCCTCAGTAAAAAGAAAGGTTCTCTAGTGACAGAAAGGTAAAACAGATTAAACTGCTTTTCATGGCTGCATCTATCTACTTTCACCACTTACAATTCCAGCAGTAACACTCTCATTTTGAGAATGGCTCAGAGCTACCTCTCTACTTGTGTCCTTGACAAGAAAAAAGTGTTTCCAAGTTCCCCTGTTCCCCTGTCTTTTTTGTCAGGCTCTAAATGCTTCCAGGTGGATGGCTTGGGCTGGCAAGGATGTCTCAACTCATACGAAACACAACTGGCCCTGGGATTAATTGTGCCACTGCCAAACCCAGAGCCTACTGTTGTTCTCTGGCTTCTTTCAGGATCACCTTGTGAAGAGAAAAAAAATATTCATTTTACTTTTTTTTCCCCCAAATATATATCTGACACTCGCTGCATCTCACTTCAACACTATTGGCATCAGTAGCCCAAGGCGGTCATAGTTAAAAAGAAAAATAGGCAAACCAATACTAAGAATAAAAATTTGCAAGTGGAATC